GCTGTGGTCCCTTTTCCTCTAACTGTCCATCCTGTCAGGATCCTGGGCACATGCCCGGCGTGTATTTCCAAGTCTACAGGGCTGGGATTCGAATCCTGGTTGGCCTTGTGATTCAGGCCTTACCTGCTGCCTAAGGGGACGGCCTCTCAAATTCTAGGCCACAATGTACTACTAGTTGAGCAACCTTGGGCAAATGAACTTCATCTCTGCTTTTGTATCTGTAAAAAGGGTTTGATAATGAACCTACCTCACAAGGCTGTTCTGTGGACTAACCCATAATGGCTGTCGTCTACTGAGTGCTACTTGAAGTGCTTTACTTGGATTCACTCGAGACTGAGTATCCAGACCAAGTTGCACTGCTAGCAGGGAGCAGAACCAGGTGTGGAACCAAGTTCTCTGGCTTGAATGCCATCCTCTTTACCTGGCTGTCACATTGTCTTTCTGGAGAGAGCACAACAAAGATAGAATGTCAAGTAAGATGGTAAGTTGCACAATCATTGAGTACAACTATGTTTTAAAGGACTAGCAGATGGTGTGGTGGCTAAAGGCACTGGATCCCACATGGCTAACTGCAGTTTGAGTCCTGGACCTGGTGGCTCGGAACTCACACTGGTGTGTGCATGAGCATGCCCAAAATCCCTAGAGGAGACTGGAGGAGAAGGGATTATTGCACGGCCACCCCCCTAAGGGGTGATTTCACATTTTCCCTCTCTCCACTGAACTCATACGGCCTAAAGCAAAAATCTCTCAAAAAAAAAAAAAAAAAAAAACCACAAAAAAACCCCCCACCAAAACAGATGGTGGTTTGAGAGATATTTGCTATAGGGTGTGTGTGTGTGCTTCCTGGAGAGACAGACAGGAGAGACAGAAAGTGAGAATCACTCCCCCAGGAGTGATGGCCACACTGCAATCCTTTCTCCTAAGTTCTCCTCTTGGGATTTTGGATATTCATGCACATGCGCCCAGCATGAGTTTCAAGCCACGGTTTTGGAACTCGAGCTGTGGTCAACCACATGGGAGTCCAGCACCTCAACCACTACACCATTCGCTGACTCCAAAACATTTATTTATTTTTCAAGAGAGACTTTTGGTATAGTGTGTATGCATTTGCTATAGGGTGCGTGCGCTTACCAGAAAGACAGAGAAAGACAGAGAGAGAGAAAGCGAGAAATCACTCCCCAGGGAGGATGGCCACGCCACAATCCCTTCTCCTCTATTCTCCTCTTGGGATCTTGGGCATGTACGCACACACACCCGGCATGAGTTTAAGCCACCGGGTCTGGGACTCGAACCACAGTCAACTACATGGGAGTTCAGTGACATAGCCATTATGCTAACTGCTGGTCCCCCCAGCATGAGTTTTAAGCTGCCAAGTCTATGACCTGAACCACAGGTAACTGCATGAGACTCCAACGACATAACCATTACAGCCTCTGCTGGTCCCAAAACAAATATGTTTTTAAAAAGTGAAAGCTCAGGACGAGCAGATAGCGTAATGGCTATATTGCTGGACTCCCATGTAGTCAACCACAGTTTGAGTCCTGGACCTGGTGGCTTAAAGTCATGCTGGGCACGTGTACGTGCGTGCGTAGGATCCCGAGAGGAGAATGGAGGAGAAGGGATTGTGGTGTGGCCACCATCCCCTGGGGGGTGATTTCTCGCTTTCTGTCTCTGTCTTTCTGGCCAGTGCACATGCCCTTTAGCAAAAACCTCTCAAAAAAAAAAAGCGAAAGCTCATCCAAACAGAAAAGGCTACAAGTAAATTTAGTAAATTGTTAAGTAAGGTTGTATTGGAGTAATATTTTTTCTTCTACTGTTTGTACTTTCCACATTTTAATATTAAAAGCGGTTATTTAAGGGGCTAGCACTGGTATGGTGGTTAAGGTGCTGGACTCCCACATGGTGAATTGCGGCTGGAGTCCCAGACCTGGCGGCATGCTTTCTCACTCTCTCTCTGGTCTCACTCGCTCTGGTGAGTGCACATGCCCCATAACAAATTTAAAATAATAATAATAAATAAATAAAATTCTTTTTTTTTTTTT